TTATATATATATATATATATATATATATATATATATATATATATCAAAAACCACTCTTTTGCCTGGCCTAATTTAAGTAGCGTGGCTTGTAGACAAGACAAGTTGGGTTGATTTGGCCCTCTGTAAAAAGTTGTTCATGTGAAAAGAGAATATTCCTATTGTACAAATAATATGGGTATTTTAATTTAAATGTTCAATTATTTTAATGAATGACGTGTCACGTGATTATAAATATACTTTTCTTAATTTGAAGTAAATCTCGAATATGAATAAATCTTTCTTTATATACTTTAGGTATAATATAACAATATGTATGGTGTATAATTTGACAAGAAACTCTTCAAAAGATATATAAAGACAAAACATTAATGGCCGCGATTTTTAGATATTCTGTATTCTTTCTATCGCAATTAAGGCTTTATATTATGATTATGATTGATTAATGATACGCTACATAATTAAACATAATTTAACTTGCAAGTTTTGGTAATTGATTGAAAAGATACATTTCTCTATATCTATTGATTTCATATAAATATCAGAGTTTGAAATGTTGTTAAAATTTAAATAATGAAAAGTTATTGAAAATAATTTTAACGAACATACTAATACATGTTTCGTTTAAAATACGTGTGTCTAATTTATAGTAATTATCTTGTCGTCTTGATAAGAATCATCGATCAATACAATAAAAAATTGTTGGAAATTCAACTAACATATTACTTAAATTTCGTTGAAGATACTATTGTTTAATTTCTAGTAGTGTTTTTATCTATTATTAAAAGCCATCCATCAATAATTATAATTTTAGTAAAACAAAAAAAAAGGTTAAAGTGTGTTTTACGTCTTAATAATCAAAGTATATAATGTATACTAATATGATAAGAAAGAAAGACATTTTTTTTAGTGGATAAAGACGAAAGAATAATGGCCGCAAATTTAAATATTCGTATTCACAATTCGTATCCTTTTTTTTAGTTTGGGATTTGATACGTAGCTTAGGGTTTGGCCAATAGCCATAACAAGAGAATATAATAATGCCTTTCTCGCAGACGCTATATTGTAACTTTTTTTAAAAAAAATAAATTATATTCAAATTAATTTGTTCTTTGTCACTAACAATTGATATTGAATATCTTTTCATCAATACTAGAACAGAGGAAAAGAAATCACATAATTATATTAATCTTTGTTTATATATGAATATAAGTCCTTATAATCACCGATCACTTCCAAGTTCCAACTTGGCTACATAATCCTCATGTGTGCTACTTTTCTTCTTTTTATAAGGGAAAAAGGTCTGATATACTCCTCAACTTTATCATTTGGAGCTGATATACCCCTCGTTATAAAAGTGGCTCATATATGCCCTTATCGTTATACAAACGGCTCACATATACCCCTGCCGTTACAAAATGGCTCACATATACCCTTCATTTAACGGAAGTTAAAAAATTAGTTTTAAATTTATATTTATTACTTCGAATGTTTTCAAAAAAATTATTTAGAGGTATATATGATTCTTATATCAAAGTTTAAGGTATATTTTAATTTTTTTAATACATAAATTATTTTTTGACTTCTTTTATTATAATTATTTGAATTTCTTATTCTTATTTTGTTGTTTTCTTTCATTCCTTAGTTTAAAGAATAAAAAATTAAACTATTTTTTTTGTGTGTATTGTAATTTAATTTCGTATTCGAAGAAAAAATTTGGTTATCTACAATAAATTTTACAAGAATATTAGTGAAACACAAATAAATTTGATTATCAAAATAATAATTATAAATTAGTCATTGAAACAAAAAAAAGTCAAAAAAATATGTTTGACAAGGATTAAATTTACTCATATGGGATTATATTTTTTAGAAAAAAATAATAAAAATTTAGATTAAAATTATTTTTTTTTCATTTCCGTTAGAGGAAAAAGGTATATGTGAGCCATTTGTTTACAAGTAGGGGTATATATGAGTCACTTTCATAACAAGGGGTATATCAGCTCTAAATGACAAAGTTGAGGGATATATCAGATCCTTTTCCCCTTTTTTTTTTTTTTTAAAAAAGCATACAAATTTCTATTCTTATTTAATTTTTTTAAAAGGACGTGTATTTTATATAGATTAGCTAGTCATACGAGTTAAAACCCTCCTCAGTACCTGATTTTGAAGGATCATTAACATAATATTTTTATTCATATATAAATGAAGACAAGAAATAAAGATAAAAGGACAATATATAATATTATTCATAAAGTTATATTTGGAAAAAATATCAGCCATAATTATGTTTGCTTTTAATTTTTTATTACATATATATAGAGCAAAAAATTTTACGAAAAAAAAATAATGATATATTTTTTATAATTTTATAAGTAGAATACGTGCATGATATAATATACACGGATCTTATTGAAATTTACCATGTTTCCTCAGTTACATTATCAACTTGTTGCTACTTATTAAGTAGCTAAAGAGATGGGCGCTATAATTTTATTTTATTTTTATATCCTCTGGTCCCTTTAAAATGTAGTTGCAGCTAACTAGAATGTGGTTGAACTAATCACTATGAAGCCTATTTATTTAAAGACATTTTAATTATAAATGATTAGGGTAGATATATCTAAGTGTATTTATTTAGTAAAGTATAGGTTCAAAGATCATGTGAATATTCATGACAAAATAATATTTAATTGTCCAATGAGTTCATTAATTTTTTTGATCCCTTCACACATGTAGGAACTTCAACAAAGAAGGGATGATCAAATGTCTTTTGTTATAACTCATAAAATTTTAGAGCATGAAAAATTACTTTCTTACAAAAGAACTTTAGACCATATAATATAAAAAATTGGTATAAGAGAGAGAAAAAAAATAGTCATTTATCTAATAATTATCTCAAAAGAAAAAAATCATCAGCAAAAAAAATTATAATATATATTCTTATCAACGTCGATACCAAAAGATTCTCTACGTCAAATTATTACACCGTATAATAATAATAATAATAATAATAATAATAATGATATTTATTTTATAATTTTTCAAGTTTCTGGATGGTCCATATTCTGACATGGTCAAAGGATGAGGTACACAATAATATTTCATCTGTAAATCAAATTTTATTAATTTTCTTTTAACTTAAAATATTGGATGGATTGCATTATTTGCATGTTATTTTTTTAATTAAAAAAATAGTCACACAAACAGATTTTCCGTAACCACTGGAACTCACAGGTTGCACAAAAGCTAGACAGTGCATATAATAAGTCATGGAACAAAAAGAATATATTAATTACTAGAAAACTAAAAGAGCAAATAAAAAACAAAAATTTTAAGAAAGAAATTTTATAAAAGATGAACCTTAAATAATAATATATGTATTGATTAATTTCACCGATCAACCTTATTATATTTGAAATTGAGAGTTACACATGATTGCTTAATGAATAATCTAAATGAATTTACTTTACAATTAAATGTAGTTTTGACAAGAATTATTAAGGATGTTACAAAAATTAATTATTTTCTTTAACTCTCATATAAGACAAGTCCTTCGTATTTTTAAAGAACATTCTTAATATATTGAACCAACGTGACTATACGGCGCGCCGTAGCAAATGATATTTATTTTTTAAACCACCCCTAACGCTTACCTTATTTGTTTAATTATTTTATTATTTAAAATATACTGGTACGATTAATTTATATTCTCGCATATTAAATCCTCTAACTAAGATTAAATTCAGTACTCTATAATTATTATTGGCAAAAAAAAATTATTTCTACAATTGCAACATATCCCTATTAATTGAATTTATTTTTAGTTTTGCAAGTTGATGTAATAGTTATCTATAGTAAAATTTCTACAAATTAAAACATAAGTAATGTAAAGTTTAAATGTTACAACTTTTTATTAGGATTACTTTTAAATACATATATAAAATTCAAAAATTAAAAATTTTAATTTTATCTATCTCACTGTGACCCTGATTATTCCTGAGGTGGATGATGTTCACAAGACAACTTAAGCAAGTTTAGTTGGCTACCTACTCTTTAAGTATTAAATTGTTCTTTTTAATATCATTTTCACTTTAATAGTAGTTTATATATATTTTTTTCTCTTCCCTTTTATGTTTCCATAAAACTTTTCTAGTATTCATTTTTCTTGTTTTCACACACAAAAAATCTAAAAGAAAAAAAAAGATATTCTTTTTCTCTTGATATACCAATCTCTCACTATCTTATGTATTTGTATGTACATATCTCTATCTCTTTGAGTTTGACCCGTTGCCACCTACCGGCAGCTTCTTTGCTCCCCTCCAATGTCCTACCCCACCACCCACCCACCTATACTATCTTTCCTTTTCTAACTCAAAAGAGTACCAAAAAACTCTCTACTTTACTAGCCTTGCATCTCTTTCAGAGCCATCCTTATATTTAAACCGCTCCTTTCTCCTTTTCTTTTCTCCCTTTCGATTTCTTCAAACCCTAATTCATCAAAAATAAAGTTATGAACCTATTTGGTTTTATTTTTATTGGATGTGGTCCAAGAAGCCAACTCAAGGAAGTTCAACATATGGGTACTTTTTTTAAAATTTAATATGTTTGATTGATTTGTTGGCTGTTTATTTTTTTAGATTTGAATCTTATTCAAACTTTGCAACTATCACTTTCTATTTTGCAGGTTTTAGTAAATACTAGACTTTTTCTTCTTTAATTGTCTTTTTAGTGAAGAAAAATTAAAGGTATGGATTCTGGGAATAGTGGGAGTATGCAATCTTCAAGTGGTGGTGATGAAGATTATGATGATTCACGTGGAGAATCTATTTCTACTTTTTTGAATAATAGTAGTAATAATAATTCACTTGCCCATTTTGGTTCAATTCCATCTCATAATAATAGTAATAATCCTTCTTTTCTTTCTCATCACCATCAACAACACAACCCGAATAATACTTTCTTTGATACTGCTGCTAGTTTGTTCCCACAAAGTTCAAATCCTCCGTTCAACGCGAACGATCTCATTTGGTCATCATCATCAACAACATCGTCATCTCGGGCTTTAAGATCTGATCAGAGTTTGAATTTTATCTCATCAGCTCCATCATCAAATGTTACTGCTAGTGGTCAACTCTTTCATCATCCTAATCAAAACCCTTTTCCGGGTTCAAGTTCGTTACAAGCAATGCAACAACCATCCATGGAACCAACGAATGTTGCACGGGCCTCAAGCTCGGCCCAGCCCGATCAACAGCCCAATGTAGCGAAGAACCCGAAGAAACGCACAAGAGCCTCACGGAGAGCGCCAACCACCGTGCTAACTACAGACACGACGAATTTTCGACAAATGGTTCAGGAATTCACCGGAATCCCTACGGCTCCGTTCACTGGTTCACCCTATACTCGCCGTCTTGATCTGTTTTCGACAGCTGGATCGGGGATGAGGACGGGACATTTGGATTCACTTGGACCATTATACCCTTTAAGGCCATCAGCACAAAAGGTTCAAGTATCTCCATTTATGTCACAATTATCATCTCCTCCTGCATCTTCGTTGAGTTCTAGCATGATTGATGCTTTAATGCCTGGAAATAACAACTCTATGGTTGGTACTACCTCGGGCTCTACCTCTACTTCAACAAATTTCCAGTTAGGTAATTCAAATCATGTTGGAATACAAAAACAAGCGCAAAACTTGTTCAACATGCAGAATCAAATTCTTTCATTCAATACTGGATCAACCATTTTCAACACAAAGCCTTCAGGAGGCGGAAGCAGTACTACGATGAATGTTCCTTCGTTAGATGAACTTGGAATAAGTCATGAGCAACAAGTGAGTGCAAATCTGATCAGTGGATTTCAAGGAGGGAATAATAGTAATAATAATGTTAGTAGTCAAGGAAGAAATGATGGAAATAATCTTTCAAGATTGTGGAGAAATAGTAATAATAATCATGATGGGGGTCAAGAAAATCAACGGCTGAGATCATTCGATGGGAATAATAGTAATGCTGGAAACTACAACAAGTTAAATTCAGGTAATTCTTCAACATCAGAATTTCATCCTGAGATTAATAACGGTTTGGAAAATGTGTGTTCTACTGGTGAAGGACCAGTTTCTTCATGGACTTGTCCTGATTGATTAGAATTATTATTATTGTTATTATTTGTTTAAGAAAAAAATATTGTTGCTGACTATAAAATTTGATGACTTATTAGATCAATTTGGTAAGTTTTCTTTTTCTTTCTATTAATTTATTTTTGGTTTAATTATATACGTTGTAATACACATGTAGATATTTTGTACTACGTACTCTTTTTGATGATGTTTAAATATTTGGTAGAATGAGAATTTTGAATTTTGTAGTATTATATATCTTGTCTGTTTTTTTTTCTTCTTCTTCATATAATTATGTTAAGTTGGTTTAATTTCTGTTTATTTTTTTGGTATTTATATGCACCGCTCTTATTAAAAGGTAGAGCTCTAATCTTTGACAATTATTAAACTTCAATAAGAACAAATCCTTAGATATATTTTTTTTATCTAATATAATAGAATCAAATTGGTTAGTAATGGCATGCGGAGTACTTACCGATTTAATTATAGAAATAGTTTTGGAAATGAGTGATTTTAAATTTTTAACCAGTTTTATTTGTTACTTAGAAGATTTTCTTATGGAGCATGGATAAAATACCCTGTATGGCACAAATTTTATGGGGATATTCATAAATAATTTAGCTCACCATTAAGAATTTATAATTTTTGTTTAGATAATATAATTCATCAGAAACATTTTAGACAAGTCAATTTTTATAGATCTCGTCCATTTTTTTCCATAGTTACAAGAAAGAAAAAAATGATACTATACGTTGTGTTTGGATAAGTTTCAGATAAGTATTTAAGAAATTTATGCAAAATAAAGCACTTTGAATATTTATAATATATTATAAAAATACTATGAGTATTGCTTAATTAATTGTTTCCAGAAATATCTCAACGGACTTCTCCACCCACAAACCAAAAAAATAAAGAAATAAAAAGTAAAAGGAAGGTCCTAAATTACTTTTAGTCTAATAAATTCATCTAATGATATATTCATCCAGTAACTTTTCTCATTTTATAGTCAAAACCATTATTACCACTTAATTAGAGGCTTAATTTCCACAAATTATATTACCGGTTGGTTTAACCTGAACCTTTTTCATTTGTCAACTAAAGACAGCCAAACAAACTTGCAAAAGTCAAAAAAACAGAAGTGTAAATTCCTAGGTTTAGAATATTATTAACTAGATTACAATGTATAAGTTCTTGTTTTCACATTGTCATATGGGAATTGAAAGAAGAAAAAAACTTTAACCTACTAACCCCTAATATTCTTTTCGTATTTAACTTCAACACATTGATCAATGATCACGTATATATTTCCATATGTATTTATAATAATTATAAATAATTGTCACTAAAAACTAAGGATTATAATGTTTGAGAAAAAATAGGTTATCCATTATAACAAGCTAAGATATAATGACACCATATGTATGTATAGATAGAGCTAGCTAGGAACGTGTAGATGATTTATTCATACACCTATAACGAAAAATTAGAATATATATATATATATATATATATATATATATAAAGAAAGATAAATTGAATTTTAAATTTTTATTTTATATATTTTGAATTCCAATTACTTATATATGTCATGTATATTATTATATATTCTTAGAATAGTCGGCAGAATCCATACTTTTTTCTTTCAACAGAGAAATTAGTGCAATTTATGACCTTTTACATTTTCACCAACAGATTTACAATCTACAGAAAATTTATCTCTTAAATATTAAGCAAACAATAATAATAATAATAATAATAATAATATATGGAGTGGGTACCAAATTAATTAGCATTATTAAGAACCTTTATAAGACCCCCTTTTTAAGACCCACCATTCTCGTTACAAGTCTCTATTATTTTAGTACGTGGGCTATTTAGTTAACTGAAACTTTTATTATTATTTTTTCTGTAGAGTGTCCCCACAGCTGATCTAACAATTCATATTAATTGCAAGTGTACTAGTTGTTTCTTATTCTCATGTCAAACTTCTACTACAAATGTATAGAAAGTTCATTTCTATGCTTGACCTTCAATTCATTTTCTTATATTAAAAAAAAAGATTTTATTTCATTGTATGACATATATAAAATGTTTTTTTTTCGTTTAAAAAACAATAGGGACAATTTTGTCATTCTTGAAAATCATTGTGTGAACTTAGCTTAAAACAAATAGAATCATATCACATTGAGTTATTTTAGATTCAACCCATTTAAAAGGCTTAATAATGCATAGTTTATCTCTTAGATATTTCATTTGGACATGAAAAAGTAAATGATATTTCAATTAAACATAAGATATGACATTCGCTTTAATTATACATATTCACCTCAATAATAAATCGTATAACCCCAACGTTTCTTATTTAAAACACTTTATTACTAGTTCACATGTGCAATTGAAGTATTCTGACTAGGAGGGTAAGGGAATAGCCATGTTCTTTTAGTACATGAGAAAAGAAAAGGAAAAGGAGTATGGTACAATTGTTATTTTCAGACGAAATGATTAGTAAGGAGATTAGAGAAAATATAAAATGAGTATATAATAATTTATCTTGATTTCAAAATAGAAATGATAGTGAATGTTACCAAGGAAGAAAAAGGGGATTGGAGGGGCAAAAAATTAAAGGTGAAAAAGAAAGAAGAGATGATTATATATGAGATTTTTTTTTTTCTTCAAGTTTTGAAAGGATAGAAGACATGTGAGAAAGGTATATAAAATCATGGTGGCCCCAATTCCAACAGAATAATCTGATCTTTAGCAATGATTATTAATTGCTTCACACACCATGTATTATTACAATATTTAGCAAGTCTATAGTATATATCTTTATCCATCAATTTTAATTTATATCTATCTCAACTACTAAAAAATAATTGTTCTAAAAAATCAACCTCATGAGTTTGTTTGTTACATGATAAAATGCATTATCTAGGATTTGAAACCCCCATTTTAGGGTGGTAGGATATATTTTTATCACCACACACAATTGATTTTGTAGGTTCAAGACTTTGTTTTATTTTGTTAAAAGATAATTTTAAAAAAATACTTCATGAGGTTGCTTTTTTCCAATTTATTTTTGAAGCCGATTATTTTAGATTTTCTTTTTGCTATTTTTAAAAGTAGTGTTTGGTATGAAGAGTGAAAAATCATGGAACGTTTTCCTATATATGTTTTCTTGGCAAAATACATAGTAATAGTTGTAACGTTTTATTTATTTTTTAATATTTGATAACTAAGAAAAACAATATCTCAAATAAATTTATTTGTAGTTTATAAATACATTATGGACGTAGAGGTGGTTTTGGAAATGATGGGTTAAGGGTAAGGGTACGGATGGGAATTGGGCGACGCGGGGTGGGGCGGGCGGGTCAAGATAGGTTGAGTTTAACCCATAAAATTTTTATTCGTTTTACTCTGCGTGACAAATTTTTTTACTTCAACCCGTCCCTGCATAAATCCTTTTGCATAATTTTTTGAAAATATTTTCTTTTTCTAGTTAAGTTTAATATTAAAATTAAATTTATATAAATAATTTGTATCATATTCTATTAAACCATTTCCATTTACTATTTTAAATATTTTAATTGTTTTGAATAATATATTCTCTTTCGTATAAAAACTTATACTTGATGCAATTTTGGAAAAACTTAGAATTCGTCAAAAAAACAAAAGGAAATAAGGGGTGTGGGGTGGGAAGGGGGGAGGGTAATTGAGCATGCAATGGCATGATTACTTCTTGAAATGCAGTGAGGTAAAAGTAGGAAGAATAAAAAACTAAATAGTTGTAGGTCTTTTCACAATTTCTTTTTTAAAATTAAAAATTGTATATACGGTGGATATTTAAAAAGAAAAATTTAATTATCATAAGCTCAAATCAACTCTAATGACTAATCCTTAATTAGCTGAACGAAGAGTAGAGGTGGATACGTAGTATTAAATCATTGGAAATCGTTTGGCTTAATTCGAGATTTAGGGCTGTTTGGTTTAGTCAAAATTTGTGTAATAAAAAGAATCTTATTTGCATAAACATGAGTAAGTAACTATAGCTCAAACATGTTCCTAAATTGTTAAACTCTCTTAAATTTTTTTAAAGAAAAACCAAGATCATCTTTAAAATCAAAATAAAAAATGTATATGTACATACATTTTTCTTAGACTATCTACTGTGATCATGTAAAATTCAATTAATTTAAATTTATATTAAGTCGAAATATTTCATTTTTTAAAAGTGGAGCTTTTTTTTTTTTTTTGCTAAAAACAATTTCACATTTATAACTAAAATCTAAAAATAGGGAAGAATATATACTTATAGTTACCACTCAATTCTTATATTTGGGGTCCTCTTGATCGCGTATGACAATACTTAAGACTTTTTATATGTTATACTTAGCATAGGAATATGCTTAGGGCCCTCTTCCACATCCTCATTATATTTGTGTTTGTATATAGAAAAAATATCAATTTAAAAATATTTACATATAATCTGAATAGATACTACAGGCGTCGAGTGAGAATGAAGATTATAATGAAATGTGCTCAAGGTGGTGGAACATAATAACGTGGAATGTCACATATATAACTTGTTTATCTTGCTTCTGTTAAGGAATCATTTTCCTTTTTTTAAAATAATTTACTTTCTTAGAAAAAAATTCTTATTAGAAAAAAAATATTTTCAAAAAAATTGACCAGTAAAATATGAGAAAATAAAAAAATAATTTCCTTCGTACCAAGGGTTGATATCAACTCTTTGACTCCGAGCATACTTCTGTTCAACCCGACCCGTTTAATGTGCTTCTGTGTCATACAAATCCAATTTTTATTTAATCCGTCTATAAAACAAAAGCTAAAAAGTATAGTCGTGTATAAGAATGTCAAATGTGTTAGTTGAAATAGTATTTAGGTGATCGATTAAAATAAATAGACAATTAAGTTATAATTGGTCTAATAATGTACTTGAATTTCTTTATACTGAATTAAGATGAACTAAATATTAGGTCATATAATCTAATTTGTATAATTTAAATTTCATGGTTTCTTTTGGTAGAATTCATTTAATCATCAAAACAAAACTTTCGTTCCAAATTATGGTTACAACAAATTTTTAAATGAGAGAAAAAAAGCTTAAATCAATCTAATTTTCAAATAAGTGGGATTCAGCTATTAAAATGGCTAAGTTAATAAATAGGAATATCATTAATGTTCTCAAATCACTATAAGTTTGAGAGATTATATTGTTATGAGCTAATTCTTACATAT